TGTGCATAGTGCTCTTGTAAATATGTTGTGCTAATATGACTACAATGTGTGTCACCCTCCGAAACTAATGGAGGGAATAAAGAACACTGTCACGTAGCAACATGTAAATACGATCCTCAAGTGTGAGTTACTCGTCAGCATGTTCGCTACACCCTGCATGTGTACCTGCCCGCTCCTCGTTACCGGAGTCAACCTTAATTACCAACTACACCACAGCATCAACAGGTGTACTGTCTGCGTTCTGGTCTCTGAATGTCAGGATGTAATCACAGGTGAGACACAGGTGAGACACAGGTGAGACACAGGTGAGACATTCGTCCATCCCGTCCTCACACACACACACACACACACACACACACACACACACACACACACACACACACACACACACACACACACACACATATATATATATATATTTAAACTGTTGGTGAACACAACGTCTTTCCTTGTTCTTGGAGCTGCCAGTATCTATAGCTATATTGTGCATCATGTATCGGGCATATATCAACTGCAGAGAGATATTGTGTGAGCTTCTTTTACCTACTTCCCCGTCCAAAACTACACAATAACAGCACTTCTCTTCAGAAGTGAGGACATGGAAAATAACAACCAATTTCAATACTTGAGGAAACTTACCTTTCGCCCTCGATGTGTATAAAACGGACACCCTTTTCACTCTCTCATATGCAACACGTGGTCGTTAGTCTAACTTGTCATTCAACTTAGACGAATATATGCTGTGAAATATATTGGGTTTTAATTGCCAATCCCGTAGCGCAATTATTCAATGTGTTTCCTTGTACAACATGCCCGAGGATGGGACAAGTTCTTCATAATGATTTGATCGACTAGTGTAGTAGCGATAGCTTGTAGCGATGTACGGGCATGGTGACAAGAGTGTGTGTCAGTCATAAACACAGAGTGACATTCATGGTCTGGCAGAGGACACAGAGGATTGATTCACAACACCGCGTGAGTCACCAGGTTGCATCTATTAAACTCATTCAATCTTATGCAGAGTGCACAAAAAAGGATTAATAGTGAGTTTGGGTAACATTAATTGTCACGGTGGTCAATCTTAAAGAGGATAAAAACTTGACAGCTTGTCTGCTCAAAAAAATATTAGACACGTATTTTAAATCAGTCATGTGAGTGTAGATGCATATTCGTTTAAAAAAACCATTACAACGTTTTCTTGAAATAGATTCATGTCCCCAAATCGAGGGTCGTCAGACGACCATATTGGAAAAGTGTTGAACGTTGGGTGTACAAAGGTATGAGAATGCTGCATTATTTGATTCAGGGGGCACGGGTGGCCCAGTCGTCTAAGGCGTCGCGATTCGATGTGCAGAGTTGCGTCCCTTGGGCACGCCAGAAACCTATGGTTGTGGGTTCGAATCCAGGTTCACCCCGATTATATTTCTAAGTTTGTCAGCACCGTACCCGTGCTCGTGGGTTTCACCGAAGTGGTAAACGTCTGGGCTTTCCTCCCACATTAAGCGGACACGCCGTGATATAACTGGAATACTGTTAAAAGCGGCGTTTAACCCAACTGACTCACTCACTATTTGATTCGGTGACGCCTTTCTCACATCCGTGGTACGTGAATGTAACTATGTTTCTGAGGAAAGCTTTTTGTAGACATTTAAAACGTTTGGAGTTTTATCATATGGGGATTACGGCAGTTACTACAGACGGATAATGACAGATTCCATGTATAACCATGGTACATCTATAAACATAACAGACCAGATCTAAATCATAATAAAATGTTCTATTTATTCTCTCCGTTATAAACTTAAGATATATTTCAGGTTTCAATAAACTCGTCAATTCTTTATACAGTCGAACCTCGTTGTGTCGAACTTGGATGAGTCGAATTCTCGTTGTCTCGAATTCACCTTCCGGTCCCTACGAACTTCTTCAATATTTATCATCATTTATACTCGGATCTGTCGGACTGTATATGCAATGTTTTGGGCTACTGGAGGAACGTATTGACAGATACGTTCTTAAATACTTAGTAAACTATTCAATATTAAATATATAATCTGATATAAGGAAGGCAGTTTTCTCACCCACAGTTTGGAAGATGAAAAAATCCCAAACCGAGCTCGAACAAACATACGACGTATATGATAGTGAAACATAAGAATGGAACCAAGCTTGCTATGGTAAACATATACTGAAGGATGAAAGTAACTGTGCTTGCAAAGTGGTGTAAATGTTATGTTTTTGCAACCATTGTCATTCGTCTGATCAATGTGTTATCGTAACAAATGTATTGACAAAAGCACGTAACGTCCCTGCAATTGCGCAAAGGTTGTCCCGGAAGCGTACGCCATTCAAATTACCAATAACAATGATGTGTTGTGTTGGCCCATGAGTTGTGATGCCACCCCATACCATCACACTGCCACCCCCAAAATGACGACCTTGGGTAACGCAAACATCGATAAAACGTTCTTCTGGACGCCTGACGACCCTTGCACGACCCCCAAAGGTGCCCTGGTGAAACCACGACTCATCTGTGAACACTGTTTTGGTGAAAATTAAAATGTCTGGCAACTTCGTTTCTGTTTGCAGCATACCCACGGCCTTGATTTTCAGCAAGCCGCGGCATTGCGTAAGTGTGTTTTTTTTATGAGCCCCTGATAGCTAAATAATCATTGTGTGCTGTTCACATTAAAAAAAACCACGCTAGTGAGTATCATGCTCCTAACAAACCCATAGACATCTGAATTGTGCGGCATGCATGAACATGCACAAGGAAAAGTTTAATTGTAATTCACGACCTTAAAGTCGAGCAGATGTCTTCAATAATATGCATTGAAAGGCGCATTATTTAATTTCAGAATAAACTTATTCTCGTCCAAGCATATGAAGCACCGTTACCTTTTTCCGTTAGTATATAAACATATTGAATAAGATTGAAAGGGCATCAGGAAGTTGAGGTATTCTTCGGTTGGATTGCAGAATGAATGAGTGAGTGAGTGGGTAGGGTTTTATGCCGTTTTGCCAATATATCTTTATGGCAAAATCACTGCGGAGGACAACAGAAATTCAAGATTCAAGATTGATGATTGAAGACAACACGTACCCATGTTACAAACAGGCATTGGTCAGGCATGCGGACGGCGCTATAAACATCACCTCTTCGCTAAGTATTTAGGTAGTTTACAATTAATCTACAATGGGCTTCACACATGTGGGGAATCAAACTCGTGTCTTCGGTGTGGCGAGGGAACGCTTTAGGTACTGACCCGTGATGACACTTTTGGTTCAGCATGGTTCCCTGGGTATGCTGCGCTGGCGCTCGGTTGCGCCAGCGCAACATACCCAGGGAACCAGGCTGATATAGAATGAGCACAGGGTTACGAGACACCCTGCTCTTATGACTTAAAATGTTCTATTCCAAACAAAATACCTTATAAACAAAGTTGACCCTATAATATAACCCTCCCTTTGGGTTCTTCACGTCGATATTTGTTAGGGTGCTGTATAGTGATGATTTATTCACAGTTCTAAGCAACATTGCAGCCCTATACGGCGGCGGACACAACTAGTGGCTTCATCCAGGTGTACCTAGCTTGGGCGTAGAACCCGGGCTTTCTTTAGCAACACACAAACACCCCAGGGCTATCCCAACGTACCGACCCAGATTCATTATCGTCCATGGTTCGACCACATTGTTCCCTGAGAAATACAACACGACCATGACAAGCCACCGCCCAATACTCTAAGTGTCCACGAATCTTACAAGGAATCTGGTACATCTAACAGCGTAACAATGTCCACCGGCCGACACTAAGTTGAAAAGAAACGTGTCAGTGAAAAATCCTTTTAATTGCATTTTCTATATTTATGGATTTATGGTATGTACACTGTCAGTCTGTCGCCGCACCCTTCGGTGTTGGCAGTCAATGTAGGTTTTGGGGTTAAGTTGCTAGCCAGGGGCGATGCTACTTTTGTTTTATGGAAAATCATTGATATGGCGAAATATAGATGATATCGTAATGAATAAATTGTCAGGCGCCTCTGGCGCGTTGTAAATCTCAGACTCTGAACACAGTTGTCAACACAGAACCGCAGGCAATAAACAAGGAGCAATAAAAGCATAAGTACTTTTGATAGAGAGCATTTTGCACGAAAGCTATGATCTATAATTGACATTTTTATGTACTTGAACTTCGTGAGGCATTTACATTTAATGGCATGCGTTCAGAAAAAAAAGGATATTGTACATTTTCGGTATTTCTTTCTGTTTCTTACAACAGTGTATTTGTGATTATTTCATCGTCGGATTTTGGTTGTATCAACTGTTTGTAAGTAGTAATTAAACTCAGGTTAGAGAGCCAAAGGCTGATTACGAATGCGTGCGCGCGTGGCTCAATGAGCACTACAGCTAGTCGAGTCGGGAACGTCGTTTGGCATGACGCGACCGGTGAACGAACCACCGACCTTCCGCTTTCCGTAGTTGAAATTTAAGAGATTCAAGTCAAAGTGTCAGCTAATCAGTTTAGGCTGAACGCCACCTTGGACAGACTTTCAGATATATCAAGGCGTGTAGGCTTCGCTTGGAAGAAAACGATGGGGATGTTGACGTTTGGATGGATGAAACCAACATGTTGCCGACAACACAAGGATCAGCATCACGCGTTGAGTGACGTCACTTGACAAGACTCGTTTGAGCGCGACTCGTTTGACCGAATCCCGAGTACCAAAATGGGGTTAGCAGCCTCACGTTTCTTATTAAGAACTGGGACTCGTTCCACAAAGCGGTCGTAACTCCCATATTTTCCTATAGACTTACTATCGTAGCGCTAAGATCACTTTGTAGAACGGGGCCCAAACTAAATTGAGATAAGTGTTTGTGCTTGAATGGCAGTCGAAGACTTATGTTAATGAAGCGCCTATAAAATATTTCTTTTGCAGACTGAAGCTTCTGACTTCATGTCACGCCGCAGCCTTCCGCTACAGACAAGCGTACACCATGGCACTTTGCTAGTCTTTATTTCCATAATCACCAAACATTATATTTTTTAATGAGACAAAAATATGTGGTCCAATAGACAAAGCATTAGGCAAACACCAGGTTAAAAGAAAATAATAATAAATATCACATATTTGGTTCCATGTCAATGTTTCTTGTTCAATGATGAAGGGAAAACCAGTTCATAACTCTTTAACAGATATCTGACCTTGAGTATGCTACAGGACAGTCTCATTAAATCTCACTGAATACTCATATGCATTGCCTCTTTTACGAAGAGAGATATCCAAACAGACTAAAAGATCTCATTTCATACTTCTCTCAGCAGAGAGGTATCAATTTGGAGTAAAAGATCTCATTTCATACTTCTCTCAGCAGAGAGGTATCAATTTGGAGTAAAAGATCTCATTTCATACTTCTCTCAGCAGAGAGGTATCAATTTGGAGTAAAAGATCTCATTCCATTTCTCTGTCAGAAGAGAAGTATTAAATATGAATAAAAGATAATATTTTATGAGATGGTTTAAATTGGTCGGAAAAATCCATTTCCAAATTAAATCACAATTAATGAATGATTGTGTTGCTGGTCAACATTTGGAGAGATTCAGTGATATGTGTAAACAGACTCAAATATGTGCAGCAAAATTTGTAAAGAACATAAATCACTGTTTTGATCAGTACTGTGTCTGCCTCTCAAGTAGCCTCAGAGTTGGTAAACAGTATTGGTTGTGGCTTTCATACACCTGTAAATTATCTTGCTGACATCCTCGAGGGACAACACCTATTGAGGAATAGTCAGTCCTAAAACAATGTCAAGTTAAAATTTGTGAATTTCATTTTATTTTGATCACTTTTGTAAAAGTTACTAAAAAACATCACAACAGGCTTGTTGCACAGTTCACAGGTTCATATGTCACTACCCTGTCAAACATAGGTATATAATCAAGCCATATTTGTATACACTCTATCAGATATATCATGGTCAATATTCATAAAGCTGAGGTTATATAGATTATAAATATACTAGTAACAACAAAGCTGTTTGACGTCACATTTGAGTGGATGGAACACCAGTGATGCAATATACATGATGGCCAAGAGAGAAAGTAGATGTGGTGATTCCGTGTTGAACACGTAACCAGCAACCTGCTGGTCATAAGAGGCGACCATAAACATCGGGTGGTCAGATTCGGCGACATGCTTGATGATGACGTGGATCATTGCCCACAATATCAATCACTTGATTGTTTGGTCCAGACTACCTGGTTTACTGAGGCAGACACTCCCTGGAACCATATCTTATATTTAGGGAGCATCCATTTAATTTCTAGGGGTGGGGAAAAACATTTTTAAATGAAAAGTTTGTTCAGAAATATGTCCCAAATAAATTGTTTGCTAGCAGTGATGAAAATATGAATAGTTTGTTTTGTTGAAATTACCAGAACTTTTGTGTGTTAATAGTGAAAATAAATAGATTGTTTGATAGTTATAGTCTGTTGGATACAGCTTGGCCAAAAATACAGAGTCCTAAAATACCCCCCACCCCTATACAAATCAAATGGATGCTCTCGTAGCCATATTTGTACGTATGCAGCAAAGAGCATATGACATACATTATATCATTGGTGTTGAATACAACCCCTAACAGTGACACAAGCAGTAGAGTTATCACACAGTACCTCAGCAGCCTCAAATAGCCGCAGCATGGCTAAGGTGGCACTAACAAATCTTCACTCACTGAACTCAGAACATGTTTAGAATCGTTGTTTTTCCGCTTATCACCGGGAATTCATTTGTTTGATATACTTCATGTTGAGATCTCAAAAACACAACTTGAATTTAATTTGTAATCAGCAAAACACTGTGAGACTCCTCAAACCTCCATTACATAGAAACAACGGAACAACACAAAGTTGAGCAATGATCACCATAACACAGCCCCGCTATACCTTAATGTCTTCTCAGAGAGTCACCATGGAGAACATTTTGTTCAAAAACATATACATACACATTTATTACAAACACTGGTAAAGGACTCCAAAATAACCAAGAAAAATGTAGAACCGATCGACCTCCTGCCCAAACAGCAAATACTAAAACGCAAACTGAACACCAAAAAAAAGCAAACTTACAATCATAGTTTGTATCCATTTACTATCAAAGGATGTTAAAAATTTGAGAATAATTTTTTTTATATCAAAGTCATGTGTACAGAAAATATTTGCAGAGAGATTAAAATTTGAAAATATAATTTTATCTTGTAATGTTTTATCTCAAAATTCACATTTTCATGGACCATATTTGTTATCTCCACTACATTCCCAAAACAAAATAGTGACTGCACATTGTATATAAATTATAAAATTACAATTTTTCCAGAAACTTGAATCCAAGAATGGTGAATGCACACTATACTGTATTTTCTTGAGTATAGTGCACACCTTTTTTTCCAAAAAACACAGCTGTGTAGAAGGGGGTGCGCATTATACAGACAGTAATGAGTTTTGATGTTTTTTCCCCCAACGGAAAGACATAACCGAGTACACAAGACAATGTTATATATATAAATATATACCATACTTACAGTTGTATGGAGATACATAAACGGTATAGACAATCTATTGTATAGCACTGGTTCTAAGATAGCATAATACAACAGAATGAAAATAACATCCATCACCTCTTGTGTTAAAAAGTAAATTATTTACCCAAATAGTAAATGGATAAATTTAAACAGAACATTAAAGATACCCTTGCTAAAAATAACGTAAATGTTGGCTCCATTAAAGTCTTTTACATACTGTCCTACATCAACATACACATGTATTGTAAACATCAAAAGTCACTTGTCATTGATAAAATATAATTGTCATTTTTCAGTGAACATGTTCTCTTAAGGTTACCATTGCACACTGACAATCATGAAGTACCATAGAAGTATTGATACAATATTACAAGTGATATGTAATGGTTCTCTCCCTTTATGTCACACTATTGTATATACATATACCCTGTAAGTGATGAAAAAAATAGACTCCATAGAAAATGATATTTACATATATAAATACAACACAGGCGTGAGTTTCCTTTGTGCTTCAAGCAATGGTTACTAGTTATTGCTCGGGCCTGTTTCACAAGTGACCACAATTTTAGGATTACTTCAAGTTCTAGTACTGTGCCACTTTTAGTTTATGTCTGCCGTGATATTGCAACATATTGCTAAAGCGGCTTAAAATATTAGTCACTAAAGTCTTGCTCAGGAATTTGTATCTGTACACAAATATATAATCATTCAAACAATTGGAAAGACAAAATATGATCTAACAGAAATACATAAATAATCTGAAATAAACATACACTGGAAAAACAGACTCTGAATGAACAGATTTAACACTTAGCACACTTAACACAGAGACAGATTACTACTGTAGTGGGAAACAAACAGGCATAAAAACAGAACAAATCTATGAGCAAAATATGGAGTATCATGGCAGATCGGTAAAAGGTACCCATTTTTGAACAAACATAGATTCAGCATGAGATTCTATTGTAAAGATAATTATTAGCAAAAAAATAAGATTAAGCTTCAGTTATTTAATATTACAAAGTAACTAAAATCCCATCACAATTGTAAAATTATTATGTCAAACTTGAATGTGAAGGTAAATAAAGAGTTCCACATTGATTTATTTAACTACATGGAATACCCATCAGCTGCTAATAGCACACCTTGGTTTTTCCTGGAAAATGTCTTGCAATGCTGGTACTTCAAAACTTGCATTTGTGAGATTCCACGGAAACATGCACAAGATTCCACAGAAACACACACAAGCTTCAACAATTGGTCACAAGTACATCCTTCAAAGAACCAGCACTAACTCCAGTGACCCGACATGGCAAAGGGAGATAACTCCACTCTGCAAGGGAGACAACTCCAACACAACTTAAAGGGCCTCTCTTTTGACTGTCTCTGTCTCTGTTTCTGTGTATTTAGCACTCTCCACTTGGTTGTATTGTGGGATGAGCTTCTCGAACATCACACGGCACATGGACTCCAGGTCATACTGATGGCTCCATCCCCAGTCTCGGCGAGCGTTGGTGTCATCCAGCACCTGGGGCCATGAATCAGCTGAAACAGAAACAAGTTGTATTGCTGTCACTAATCGTTAATTTTCTCGGTAATTCAAATTTACTTCAAAATCTGATTCAGGAAATATTCTTGTTACAAAGATGGAGAGATCTAAAAATCAGTAAGTAACCACAAAACAATTCGATGACATCATCCTTAAATGATAATTTGTTTAAAAGTTCTGTGACTATCTTATGACAGTTAATTGTTCAAGCATTTCTCATGGCATATATGACCACAATAACCAATAAGCTTCTTGCGTCTTTAACTCTATGATCTCTGTAGTGTAGTCATTGTGATGAGTGCTATAGTAAATAGTACCAGCAAGCTCGCGCTATGACGTAGCTGATGACGTCAGCGCAGACCGATGTACTGACGCCATGATGAAAGAATATACCCATGATGGTATCCTAATCTTCATGTTATAGATACAGAGATAAAGTAAACTACGTTTATAACGAACACACGAACTGATGGATATAACGAACATATTTTTGGTTCGGGCCATTTGCTGTATATATGCTTTATATAGGCTTATAACGAACTACGGATATATCAAACTAAAATCAGTGGTCCCTTTGAGTTGGTTATAACCGTAGTTGACTATAAAAATCATTCTAACACTAACGATAGTATTGTCAAGTATTCTGAGAAGCCCAACCTTCCAACATTGCAGAATGTGTTATTCTACTTGGTTTCAACCCTAACACATTCAACATTATCTATGTTCACTTGAGTGAGTGAGTGAGTGAGTATGCTTTTACGCCGCTTTTAGCAATATTCCAGCAATATCACGGCGGGGGACACCAGAAATGGGCTTCACAAATTGTACCCATGTCGGGAATCGGACCCAGGTCTTCGGCATGACGAGCGAACGCTTTAACCACTAGGCTACCTGACCGCCCTATGTTCACTTGATTGTCATTGAGGTAGAGCTTATGTGCAGATGCATCTGTTCCATGGGCATATGGTAAAGTATCAACTAACATAATTCACTAGGGGTGGTCATGAAAACTAACAATAGCCATGTGTAGTATAGGCTAAAAAGAAAATAGTCTTGGTTCTCAGGAACCGCCCGCATCATCATAAAGTTCGCCGCACGTTTCGTTTTTATTTCCATTTAAATTTATTTTTTTTAATCCTTAAAAATTCCAAGTCCAACGGTAGTCAAATACTGTATTCCAATATTTTACTCATCAAGGAATACATTTATGTAGGGAGGCCCTTTCCCAGGTTGATTGAACACAATTGTTTATTTATGACATAACTGTTTATTGGTTTAAAAGACACCGCCCGCCCGCCCGGGCATCATTCAAGAACATGGCTTTGCATGACTGGCCAACTCACTCACTCTAAGGAGAAGATCTGCAAGACAATACGAACCAAAAACCTGCCTCTCTATCTCTCTTTCATGTCTGTGAAGAAGGCATGCATGACAGTACCATCCAGCCAACTGTCTAACTGACTCACTCCATGGAGAGGACACACAAGACAATACTAACCAATAACCTGCCCCTCTCTCTCTCTCACTATCATGTCTGTGATGTGAGGTGAAATGGGGTTTAACGTCGTGTCCAAGATTATTGTACTTATATAGCGACGTGCATGTACGTGTGTGTGTTTGTGTGGCTGCTTGTACTAGTCCGGACTGATGCCGATTTATAGTGCTACCTCACTGAGATACCATGCCGCAGTTTAACATGAATACCCCACTCAGACACAGTATACTGACTCCGAGCCGACCAGTCCTTGTTTTAGCCCCTTAATGCCGAGCGCCAGACAGGGTAACAACAAGTACAATCTTTTAACGTCTTTTGGTATGATGCGGTCGGGGATCGAACCCCGGACCTTCCGCTCTACGGGCGGACGCTCTACCACTAGACCACGGAGGCGGTCCATCATGTCTGTGAAGAAGGCATGCATGACAGTACCATCTAACGGCTGTCCAACTCATTCACTCCATGGAGAGGACACGCAAGACAATACTAACCAATAGCCTGCCTCTCATCTGGGGAGTAGGTGACTTCCAACTCGGGGACATATTTTTTCACTTCCTCTGCGATCTCACTTGGGGTGAAGCTCATGGCCGTCACATTGTAAGTCCGCATGGACAGCTTCTCATTGGGCACTTCCATGAAGTTGACCGTGGACCGGAGAGTGTCGTCGATGTACATCATGGGGAGCCGAGTGTCTGGCCCCAGGAAACACCGGTGGTGGCCGGTCTTCAGGGCATCGTGGAATATCTCCACCGCATAATCTGCCATGAATAATAACAATGTTACCATCCCTACACTACACTTTAAAGAAAGGCTTTGTTTAGTTAACTCCCTTCTACCACCAAGTTGTCTCTCTTTTATCTTCAATAATAAATCCAAGTTCCATGGTACCTTCTGAAAGTGATTTTGGGTGACCTTGACCTATTCTTAGGAATAATTTGAAGGTACTGATTTTGTCATATTTTAATATAAATGAATAGCATAGGATTGGTGTATTTACCAAGCAAGTCATTATCTAAAACAAAAAATAAAATATATCAGCAATATAATACATATCTATGAGCAGACATACCTGTGGTGCCACCGCCGGGTTTGGTGTCAGCCGAGATCACTCCAGGGAATCTCAGACTGCGGAAGTCCAGGCCAAACCTCTGGTTGTAGTACTACACAGAAACAGTTTTGTGTTTAACATTTAGAATGAAAGTCAAGGGGCCCTTGTCATGGAGCTAATGTTAAAAAAGGGGTTGCATGAAGCATGGACTATAGCAGCAACTACAATGTCACCTTGGATCCCCTTAATATCTAACACCACAGTAAATAATAAATAGTACAGGGACATTTTTTCACATCTTCGCATCTTCCTGAGGCAAGAGAGTTAACTGACTTTAAAAGTCCAGTTTCCACCCTTGCCGAACTAAGCTGGAATTACTGGGCTAGATTGTAGCGCCACCAGTGGCTGTTACCAGTTATGTCCCTTCTAAGCCTACCAATCAGGTTCCACCTCTCGTATTGCTTGCGTTTGCTTCACACTAAAGGGCAGGATGATCTGCCTTACACGTGAAATGCATCAAATCACTTGAGCACCTTGATGTAAAACATGAACAGATTTGGAAAATATCTGCTACCAACGAGTTGGCAGTGCACATGATTTGCAAATCCTGCAATTGATTGAAATCTGCACAACAGTTAACGAACCAAATATCGATTTCGGTGAGCGATTTTGATTGAACTATGCATGGACCTGTTAGTCCAGCCAAAATGTAACTCCTAGTTCGGCAAGGGTGGAAACTGAACTTTTATAGTCAGTTAACTCCCTTGCCTCGGGAAGATGGTCCTCACGCAGAGAGGTATCACATTGGTGTAAAACATATGATTTGATGAGATTGGTGTAGACAGTTTGATGTGATGTCATTGTGAGCGTCTATGAGGTAACACCTAGCTCACCTCTCCCATTAGCTCCGCATGCACCTTGGACACGCCATAGATGGTCCGGGGACGCTGGATGGTGAGGTCAGGGGTTGGGTTCCGCGGGGAGTCAGGGCCAAATGCACCTTTAAAAACAAACATACCCTGAGTGTCTTTGATAGAACGGAAAGGCATGACCATTACAGCCCACAGCATTTACATACAGAAACAGTACTGTTGGCAAGTGACCAAATTGATATTTATACACTGGTAGAAACTGCAGTTTTTTTGTTTTTTCATTTAATACACGAGTACATAACATGCTTATTTCCACATTTTTCAATACCAATATGAAAACCAATACATTCATTACAACTGATGTAAAACTGAAACTGGGGACATAGTCAAAGGGAGACAACTCTCCACACGTTAGATGTCTTATTGGACTCATACCAATTGTGCTTGGAATGAACAGTTTGAGTCTGTATTGTTTGGAGACCTCGAGGACATTATGGAGGCCCTCAATGTTGACCTGCATGGCCAGGGGCACATTCTGCTCCCCGATGGCGCTCAGCAGGGCTCCGAAGTGAACCAGCCAATCCACCTCATAGTTGACAACAATCTCCCGAAGACTCTTGAGGTTCAGGACATCAGCAAAGAGGAATGGTCCTGCAGAACAATAATTGAAGGATAATAGTGACAGAGCAATAGTTTCAGACAAATAGTTTTTTATAGGCATTGTTTCTCACAGCTGCAGCCAGCAGCACTGATCCAACCAGTAAATAACCCAGGCAGTCAAACCAGTGGTGGATAGCATGGGCAACAATGCACGCCACTTCAGGGCACAATGACAGTAAAATCAGTCACACATTGTGCTCATAAAATTGTCATGTCAACTCTGTAACAAGCCTGACGTGCTGCAACCGCAAATATCACTACAATAGCTTCATTTTGAATCGGCTTCAAAGGACGCCAAAAAAACCTCTCAAAATATATCACAATTACGTGGAAGAAAATTTCTATGGGGAGTTAGTGATAAGTGATATTGAGCTTTTGATGTCACTTCTAAATTTAGCTAGGATAGCAAAAGGGTGTGGGTATTTTGTCAAGCTAGAATGGTAGTAAAATAGGGTTTAAAGTCGCGTCCAAGTGAGTGAGTGAGTATGGTTTTACGCTGCTTTTGGCAATATTCCAGCAATATCACAATGGGGACACCAGAAATGGGCTTCACACATTATACCCATGTCGGGAATCGAACCTTGGTCTTCGGCGTGACGAGCAAATGCTTTAACCACGAGGCTACCCAACCGCCCTCACATCCAGGATTATTGCATTGATATAGCGACATGCATGCATATCTGTGTGTGTGTGTGGCTGCTTTTACTAGTCCAGAATTATGCTGATCTTATAGTGCTAGCCCTGCAGTGATACCATGCCGCAGTGTAACATGAATATCCCACTCAGACACAGTATACTGACTCTGAGTCGACCAGTCATTGTTTGAGCCCCTTTATGCTGAGCGCCAGGCAAGGTAACAACAAGTACCATCTTTTAATGTCTTTTGGTATGACATGGCTGGGATTAAACTCCGGACCTTCCATTCTACCACTAGACCACACAGCAGCAGTCTCATGCTTGAATGGAGGAGATAATATAAGATTTGGAGGTGTTGGAGACAATTCTTGCCCAGAATGCCAGATACATGCTTCCCTTGCCAGGTGTTCCCTTACTTCTTGACATGAGCATAGTATATTCAGGAGGTAAGCGAGCATTAGTAGTTCGAAACAGCGGGTGCCGATACATCAAGTACAAATTAACATGGCAAACATCTCTTTAATGAACTCGTCCATCTGAAACGTAAGTGATGATCCTCATTTGATTAGCGATTCAGCAACTTCTTCTCATGTAGTGTCACCATCAGTCAGTATTGACATTGTTACTGCACAAGCAAGATCGTGTAAATATAGCAATGTGTAGTGATGTGTACTCGGATGAATGAGGTTAAATCACTACTCTGTTGTGTATTCATGGACCAGTTACATACAATCTACCATCAAGGGCTCATCATCATCCTCGATCATGCAGGGTATTATTTCTCCATTGTATTACAATAAATACCCTGGACCCATTTGCCACCAAAGTTTCGTTTCAGAAGCGACGTCTCCATCCTCATCTCTCTTTTCACTAACTTAGCTCAGGAGTTTAGCGCAAGATTTGTCTCACATATAAACAGATTGGACGGCTATTTTTAGTGGCATGTCTTTCAAATACAGTTGGAAACTAAGCTGTGGTAGCAAATGGGTCGACCGTATTAATCAGAAAACACTGGATAATTGAGGATTACTATTCATGTGTACTTACCACTTCTGAGAATAGTTTTGGGAGCCTTGTTGATGTCGGTCAGAATGACGTTGTCACGTCCGTACCTCTCTCTGAAACATAAGCATTACTTACTGATTCACTGTCATAGTGATTGCACAATTCAAAGAGGTAGTGCCATTGACCAAGGTATGGCTGGCGTCAAACTGGTTCTAAATCTATATCTGCACAGCAGAGGTTCTCTAGTAGTCTTGAGTAATAATAATGGCTGAATTCCTAATGTCTTTCTATTAGGTCACAACGTGTTATAGTAATATTAGTAGCTGTGGAGACTTTTCTATATTTGTAGGGGTTATCACAGGCCGCAGAATATTGTCACTGTTGAATGCCTTGAAATAGGACTGTCTCTGTGCTTGAATCCAGAATAGTCTTGGAAGCTGGCAGGAATTCGTATTCAATCCATGCTTGGCAAGTAGATGAGACACAAGTCTGGTCAAGAAGGCCTCAACTCGCCCTCTGGTCACTCATATAGGTAACCAGCCTTCTAGAAACGATCAAGTCTGCCATGTTCATATATGCAAGGGTGGATAACTCTAAATTCCACTTTTTTTGCTGCTGCAGTTCGCTATTCAAATCCGGCCATAACAGTACCCGACATCTTTCACAAGTAGTACAATCATCTGATAAATGCTACAAATATTAATCAATCACAGCAAAAGTAATTATCTTTCAGCATGTTCAGTATCTTGCCTTGTTAAAATTTGTTTGTGTTTTACTCATTGGTAGCAGTATTAGTCATTACTAATCTGGAGGTTTTTAAACATAAAACTAATATATGATAAAAGCTGTTACTTACACATAGCAATGAGATACAATTTGGTTTATATATGAGAAATGGCACATTTATTGTTTTTGAAAAGTAATTGTTTTTTGAAAGGTAATAGGATTTTTTTTTTTTCTCAAGGCATGTTGAATGTCAATGATTAGATAATATTGATTTTAGATGATACACTTTTATTTCTGCAACTTTGGCCCTTAATTCTCTTATTATGATAATCATGTTAACGGCTATGAATCATGAACTGAGTCACCAACACCAAGGTCATAATGACAGATGTTATACTCAGACTAGAATGACTTCAGAGGTTTTAGCCAAAAAACAAACAAAACAAATGAGTGATTATGGTTTTGTGCGCATGTAACAATATTGCATCAGTGTGATCGTCAGCATCCCCAAAAATGAATTCAAGGTCATGACCTTCAGACACTTACATTAGGCAAGCTCTATGTGCATTGCCCCAGTCATCACTTTCATTCACAATGAGTGAGTGAGTGAGTGAGTGAGTGAGTGAGTGAGTGAGGTTTTACGCCGCTTTTAGCAATATTCCAGCAATATCACGGCGGGGACACCAGAAATGGGCTTCACACATTGTACCCATGTCTTCGGGTCTTCGGCGTGACGATCCAACGCTTTAACCACTAGGCTACCCGACCTTCCCTCATTCACAATGATGCAGGTGTCTCTTCTGTACGTCAAGGAAATGGGTGTTCTTTATTTGGGGGTTCTTTGCTTGTTGTTGGAAGTCACCACACTCAGTAATATTCCAACTACATGACGGCGGCCTGTAAATAATCAAGTCGGGGCTGGACAAACCAGTGATTGATATTGTGAGCAAACTTTGACGGTGTTGAGCTACAATTACTTTAACCAACCAAGTCAGTGATCCTGACCACCTAATCCAGTGTGTGTCGTGTTACAATAAGCATGGGATACAGAGAGCTCACACTAACTCCACTTCCCTACAGGGTTCTGGGAAAAGGGTGAGTGAGTGATTTAGTGTTAAACACAACTCTGAACAGTATTGCAGTTATATCATGGCGTGTCAGCTATATATGTGAGATACATGTGACACAGGTCTTACATGTTTTAACACATGGAGATACCGTATTCACCATATTAAGCACCCTGCTCCAATAGGCACCCCCTAACCAACTTCCCCATCAATCTGTACTTAATCTTAATGAGCGCTGTCTAAGACCAAAACGTTATGACAGTCCCAATATTTTTTTGTATATTGCAGATTATTTACTGAGGAAAGCAGCGTAGAAGGGGAATATAGTTGCCTGGTAACTTTTATCAAACAAATTTAACTCATTAAGAATGGTTTCAGTAAGCTTTGAGGTTTGTGAATGTTCTAAGCACTTATGACGGCAAATACTATAGGATGGTGAACTCCACCAGTACAGGTATGGTGGGTGTGGATGTCCCGTAGACAACTTTGTCAACCACAGAGACAACATGTAGATGTCCCGTAGACAACATTGTCAACCACAGAGATAACTCGTAGATGTCCCGTAGACAACATTGTCAACCACATAGACAACTCGTAGATGTCCCGTAGACAACTTTGTCAACCACATAGACAACATGTAGATGTCCCGTAGACAACTTTGTCAACCACATAGACAACTCGTAGATGTCCCGTAGACAACTTTGTCAACCACATAGACAACTCGTAGATGTTCCATAGACAACTTTGTAAACCACAGAGACAATTCGCAGATGTCCCGTAGACAACATTGTCAACCACATAGACAACATTTAGATGTCCCGTAGACAACTTTGTCAACCACAGAGACAACTCGTAGATGTCCCGTAGACAACATTGGCAACCACATAGACAACTCGTAGATGTTCCATAGACAACTATGTCAACCACAGAGACAATTCGTAGATGTCCCGTAGACAACTTTGTCAACCACAGAGACAATTCGTAGATGTCCCATAGACAACTTTGTCAACCACATAGACAACTTGTAGATGTCCCGTAGACAATTTTGTCAACCACAGAGACAACTCATAGATGTTCCGTAGACAACTTTGTCAACCACAGAGACAACTCGTAGATGTCCTGTAGACATCTTTGTCAACCACACAGACAACTTGTAGATGTCCCGTAGACAATTTTGTCAACCACATAGACAACTTGTAGATGTCCCGTAGACAATTTTGTCAACCACATAGACAACTCGTAGATGTTCCATAGACAACTTTGTCAACCACAGAGACAATTCGTAGATGTCCCATAGACAACTTTGCCAACCACATAGACAACTCGTCCAGATTTGATTATTTACAGGCTGCCGTCATGTAGCTTGACTATTACTGAGACCAACATTAAACAACAAACTGACAAAGAAACAACATTTGTAGACCAATGTCTACAGAGGTGATAGACCAATGTCTACAAATGTAATAGACCAATGTCTACAAAGGTGATATGCATCATGATGACAAGGCCATCACACTAGTGACTACCTGGGAAAAACATTTAGTATTTTCAGATTGTCAGGCATTTTGATTCAATCTTCAACTGGAACCAACAGCGCTATAGTATATTATTACCCACACCCACACACCAGAAACATCTGGCTGCATCATAGTGCAAGAATATGGCAGTTCAACTTGACACATCAATCCCAAAAATAAGAATGACAAATTAGAATGAAAAATCATGATATAACCATATAACATAATGATCACCCAGTTTCGTTTATTAAAAACTTACGCAATTATTTGAATTTTTTAGGACACAAAAACATGGGATGCCCAAGTTGTATGATAATCATGACCAAAAAAGAATACTTCAATTAGGTTCTATCATGTCTCAGTAGACCATGGAATTGATTTTATGTAAATAGTACAGATGTGCTTGTATGCCCTAACTATATGAACATGCTGAAGGCAAGAGTAGAAAAATATGTTTAGAATAAAAATTATTACTGACTAAATATATTACCATGGTTACTGCATGGTGATGATAACCATATTATCTCCTGCCTGGGGGAGGCGGGATAAGCAGGTCTGTACAACCAGTGTTGAATTTGTTCACATGTAAGGAGCCGTGGCTTGTTAACAAAAAAAATGTTGCAAGGCCTCATCATATTGTACTAGCTCAAAACACATCCGATAAAATATGAAAAGAAACAATAAGACAGCAGACTTTGACATTAAATGATGCCTTAACTGATTTGATGATATGTAGAAATAAATATATATTGATTATTGTTTTCAACTTGACAGTCGGGCAAGCTTAATGGAAATGTTACCAGCCCAATTTAAAAGTCACTGGTATTTGGCTAGCAGGCAGGCAGCTATTTCGAACACTGTGTAAAACCAATATTTCAATATGGTGTCGGGCCTTACATGTCTTAGATTTGGAACAGAAAGTGTTCATTACGTTCATCATGTTCATGAATATATAAATAACAACCGAAAAACATCAATGAGATAGGTACTGTGTATCTATGGTAACCTATGCGTTTAACATAAATTATGATACAATGCATCATATAACATGTACAAATATGACAAGAGTCATTAGGAGATGAGATAGACAAGTTTAAACAAGTATTATTTAACGGTTTTGGAGCTCTGCTCCAGAAACGGAAAACAGAAGGAGGATGGACAGACGGACATGCTGATGGCTAATTCACCCATTTTTCAAACTGGGGGATTATCATGATTATGGAAAGCCTTATGGAAAGGTAGGGGTTAGACGCTTTCATTTACAAAATAGTGAAATTATTTTACAAAATAGAGATGGAGGTCATGTATGAAGATTCAAATACTTTCCTATATGTGCATAAATTATACAATCACCTGATTCATGTCACGCCACAGTATAAACCTGGAATGTTTATCAATCTCGTCATTTTTGACTGCTTTGATATAAACAACTGTTTTTGGTTAAACTATTGTATGTTTCGGTTCATCGAGTCAACGTCAACTGATGTGCACACTTTTGTAAGAATCTGCTATGCGGATTCATACAGTTTGCACATCGGTTTTTCGATTCATACCTCAATGAACCGAAAAAAATACACAGTCAGTCCTTAAATGAATGGAAAATATTTTGGCGTTTTGTAAATAGCCTAAGTGAAAATTTCAGGCATTTTCACATTGACTGAATTTACACATCGACTGTTACATATACAAACACCATATCCCATGTATACAAATAATACACACACTGAGTGTCTCCATACACTATATCAACACAGGCTGAGCAGGGAAATTTGGTCTCAACATAATACGATGATATGGTATCCATGATATATTTTCCCTAGAGAGAACTTATTCCGACATTCAGCTTTAAATATTTATTGGCATGAGTCATACTGCAGCATGACAGTGCTGTTTCAGCAGATTAATAATCGGTGGTGACTTCACACATTTTAAATAAATTAATCAAATTTCATAGACACACAATTTACTCACTATAGTTTGAAGTGATAAACAATTATTTTGACAATCTAACGAAACAGGTGAACATGGAAACAGGAGGCAAAACTAGATTCCTTGTTGTTTACGTACATTTAACATGTTAAATTAACTTCCAAGAAAATATCTTCACAAAAAAACATTTTGACTCAACATGCTCAAACCAGGCTTTTTTCATACATTGTTTACATTTGACTGTCGGGTCCGACAAATAAATATTTAGTTTTCTTTCAGCATGTTCAGTTAACCATGTTGGCTGCACTTCTCAGTACCTTCAATAAAATGAAACAAAACTTTCAACTGACAAAGAAAAGCAGTTGTAAGCGTAAGACGACATTCAAGAGACTTAAATCAAGTCTACTTCCTTGCAGTGGAGGCACAGTGAACATCAGCTGATGCAACATGTCGATACTGTTAACCCAGTTAGCCACATTCACCAGGCCACAGCAGGTACATGTGATGGAGCATATCTGCCCTCATCTGACCTCAACCACAAGAAAGATGGGCTTCAACAGCTTCATCTGGATAGTGAGCATGGTTTTACGCCACTTTTAGCAATATTCCAGCAATATCACGGCCGGGGACACCACTAATGGGCTTCACACATTGTACCCATGTTGGGAATCAACCCGGGTCTTCGGCGTGACGAGCAGACGCTTTAACCACTAGGCTACCCAACCGCCCCTCATATCGATAGACACTGGCTTAACAGCTTAATATGGATAACAGCACTGATCTCTGAAAATTCACTGGGACTGGTTGTTGCCTTTGTAATTTGTCTATCCTTAGGATACCCTGATGATATCCCAGAAATTTGACAAGTTTGATACCTGTGCTGTGCCAGCCGCAAGCACATTTGTCGCTTTTATTGATAGTATAAGGGTGTATCGTCACATTGATCAACAAAATTACTATACAGTTTTGACACTGAAATTATATTGAAATGTAGGTATCTTTGGTGGTAGCATTGGTAATACTAATAGTCACAAAGTTTGGATAAGTCACTTGTCAATTGTGCGGTTTTCGTTTACACTCTTTTGACTTGTAATACAAACTGAATATTTCACCTCAGCTTTGTTTATTTGATCGTGTGTATGTTACAATCAATGTGTAAAATGACTAAAATTTTCACTTTGGCAATTTATTAACCACCTAAATATTCAGTTATTTTACATATTGACTGAAAAAACAGTTCATTTATTTTATTATAATAATGAATCCGAACATTTTGATTTTTAATTTCATCACCCAGAGACTGAAAATGATAGGATTTAAAGAAAACAAAAGTTAAATTACATTTCTATATTTTTTTGCTTCTAACCCAAGCATAATTAGTCAATTGTGATGCCCTTTAGATATATAAAGTCATGCATATCTCATCAGTCATAAAATTTAATATCATGTATGCACTTTCTTATCTGTAAACATGTAATCACACGTAGATTTTACTACACCTATTCATCCAACTTGCAAACTCAGTCAAAACTTCATGATACTCTGAAGCATGTCATAACTTAACTAATACAGGTGGTTGCCTGTGTTACCATGGTTTTGTCGTCTTATCATTCAATTTAAACTGCATTATACTTTGCAGTGCCACAGCCCATTTATCTCTTAGTGTAAAGAAACCTTGAAAGTGAGGTGAGGTGAAGGTGAAATTGGGTTTAACGTCGCGTCCAAGATTATTGCACTTATATAGCGACGTGCATGTACGTGTGTGTGTTTGTGTGGCTGCTTGTACTAGTCCAGACTGATGCCGATTTATAGTGCTAGCTCACTGAGATACCATGCCGCAGTTTAACATAAATACCCCACTCAGACACAGTATACTGACTCCGAGCCGACCAGTCCTTGTTTTAGCCCCTTACGGCCAAGCGCCAGACAGGGTAACAACAAGTATCATTTTTTAACGTCTTTTGGATTGAACCCCGGACCTTCCGCTCTCCGGGCGGACGCTCTACCACAAGACCACGGAGGCGGTCCCTTGCAAGTGAACATGGCACAAGCAAAATAATTGCTTGTTTGTATGTTGTTTAACACTGCACTCAGCAATATACCAGTTGCCATAAATAAATCGAGTCTCGACCAGACAATCAAGTGATTGATATGAGAAACAATCCACGCCATCAGGGTACAATGACACACAATCAACCAAGTCACCTAGTCTGACCATGACCTCTTATATATCTTTAGATGTTTAATATTTTTTATGAAGGAATTTTGTTTTGTTCTTAAAATGTCGGTGGTAAAAAAAATTAAAATATCTCAACTCTTATCAGTCTACATCGCTTCAAGTTTTGCGGTATGTACTTTGTAATTCTGAATGAATCTTCAACACTAACCAAAAACTTAATTGCCTACGACGATCAGCTAAGTTGCTAGGGACATGAATCCCCGCTGGGCAATCATAAAAAACCAAAAACGGAAGAGCCATTATCCAAGTAATGAAAAAAACTTTCTTACAAAAAGAATAAGTTTCATCAAGCCTTCAGAGATAATGGGTTCCCCTGAGCTGGAGTTGCTGAGTCATGTCTACACATTCAGCTACCAACCCCGTGACTGTAAGTAATCAATAAGAAGCAACACTACACTGGTACAACTCATGTCACCTGGCAGAGTACTGCTGTGGCCTATTCAGACTTTAATCAATCATGTAGCTAGGCTGATAAATGGCTGTTTTCGGAAACATTAAGGAAAGGTCAAGTTGACTGCAACAGAGAGTGGCTGGTTTACGTTTTGTTTGGATAGAGGTTTAATCAAGGACCTAAATATTTAGGTCCATGGTATAATGTTTCAGAAACAAACAAAAATTTAAAAGAGTTAATTCAAATAGAAGAATATGGTAATTTTATTAGTCTGCGTTCTGCACTGTGTCTTTCAAACTGACTGAAAACAATGACAAGTGGGAATGGGTTCGCTATGTTTATCATTACCACGATTACAATGGAAATATACTACTCAAAAGAAGTTAAGGATCATCCGATTCTTTCATATTGGTAATGTTAATCTGTCATAGCATGAGAGATTAACTATTGTAATATGGAAGAATCGGGTGATCCTTAACTTCTTTTGAGTAGTATATATCCAATGGAAATACCAATGAGGCACAGAGTTACCTACGCTCTCAACTCATGGATCACTAAACTTATCCTATACTAAAGCATCTTGGATAACTAGACTTATCATGCTTACTGGCTGTTACCATAAATAATTAACAGTTTAAGCTTACCTTAGTATCTTTGCCAGCCCAGTTCCGAGTTGTCCCAGACCGCCTGTAGACACATGAAGAAAATTTCTTATTGAAAGATCGATGTTTATTGGTATGAGTGGGTTGTGTTTTATTATTATTATGATGTCTATTATGATGTTTATTATAGTGTTATTTACACTCACCACTACCCTTACCGCGTGAACCACTCAGCACAACACTTATAATAAACAACATAGCTTTCAAGGTGCAGATTTCGGACAGGTGCAGAATTTGCAAAGGATGTGTACCGTCAACTGGGGGTTGACAGACATTTTCCAAATCTTTTCATGTTTTAATCAAGGTGATCAGGTGATTGGATACACTTCGCTTATTACAATATAGATCTTGATCATCGATCAGATCGTTTTCACTGGGTGCTGCCATTTTGTTTGAAGCAAATGCAAGTGATACAAGAGGTGGAATGTGATTAAGGGCATGGAAGGGATATAACTTGTAATATTCACTGTAGGCGCTACAATCAAGCCCAGAAATTCCAGCCTACTTTCGGCAAGGGTGAAAACTGGACATTTTTTAATCATTTAATCATCCGTTGCCTCACGAAGATGCCTTACAGCGTTATCCACTCACCACTACCCCTACAGCATGATCCACTCACAACTACCCCTACAGTATGATCCACACACCACTACCCCTACAGCGTGATCCACTCACCACTACCCCTACAGCGTGATCCACTCACCACTACCCCTAAAGTGTGATCCACTCACCACTACCCCTACAGCGTGATCCACTCACCACTACCCCTGCAGCATGATCCACTCACCACTACCCCTACAGTATGATCAACACACCACTACCCCTACAGCGTGATCCACTCACCACTACCCCTACACATGATCCACTCACCACTACCCCTACAGCGTGATCCACTCACCACTACCCCTACAGTATGATCCACTCACCACTACCCCTACAGTATGATCCACTCACAACTCCCCCTACAGCATGATCCACACACCACTACCCCTACAGCATGATCCACTCACCACTACCCCTACAGTATGATCCACTCACCACTACCCCTACAGTATGATCCACTCACCACTACCCCTACAGTATGATCCACACACCACTACCCCTACAGTATGATCCACACACCACTACCCCTACAGTATGATCCACACACCACTACCCCTACAGCATGATCCACACACCACTACCCCTACAGTATGATCCACACACCACTACACCTACAGTATGATCCACTCACCACTACCCCTACAGTATGATCCACTCACCACTACCCCTACAGCATGATCCACTCACCACTACCCCTACAGTATGATCCACACACCACTACCCCTACAGTGTGATCCACACACCACTCCCCCTACAGTATGATCCACACACCACTACCCCTACAGTATGATCCACACACCACTACCCCTACAGTATGATTGACTCACCTGTGATGAGGACCCTGGGGGGTGAGTTTTCCTCCCCCGCTATGCCAAGGTGAGATGACCGAGACATCCATGCGGCACAAACCATCCCTTGTTTCCCAGACAAGAGACTCTTTGCGATACTTTTACTTAAGAGTCCTGACATGATTCAGATTCTTGCTCTGTTCTTCCAATTTTTCCAATTTCTAAAAAATTCTGAAAAGAAATATTCAACATTAAAACTAATAAATGTGATAAATGCAATTCTGTTTTAATTCCACTCTAACCAGCAATGATAAGCATTAGCAAGATGTCGATACTCCTATTTTAACAGGCTGAAATGATATGTTTCGAATAATTCAAAACCATATTAAAACATTAAGTAATACAGCAAATCTAGCCGATACAGGAGAAATTTATTTAAATATCAAAATAAGATGGTGAGAGAAATAGGAAGACTCCCACAAAAAACACAACATATTTTGTTTTTTCATGCCATATAAAAGTGTGAATCGTCATACCACTTCCAGACAGAATTAATACTACTGTTCAATGTGTCTATTAAATTCATCAGAACAAACAAGGAATGCAACACGCAGCAGTGGGAAACATGATCTGTGTTCAGCTGTTACCACAGGGGAAGTTTCTGCGAAAACAATGTTCACACTAAATGGTGAGAAGTTGTGTAGACAATTGAATATGACAACTATGATGTGATGAAATTTCTACAAAATCAGTCTCTTGAAAGAGTGAGTGAGTGAGTTGGGTTTAACGCCCCTTTGAACAGTATTCCAGTTATATCACGGCGTGTCAGCTTAATGTGGGAGGAAAGCCCGAAGTGATGCAGGTCTCTGACGTTTACCAATTCGGTGAAACCCACCAGCACGGGCATGGTGCTGACAAACCTAGAAACATAATCGGGGCGAACCGGGATTCGAACCCACAATCATAGGTTTCTGGCATGCCCAAGGGATGCAACTCTGCACAGCGAATCGTGGCGCCATAGACGACTGGGCCACCCGTGCCCCCCAAAAAGATGGTGAGCTGAGAGAGAGAAATAGGATGACTCCCATGCCATATAAAGGTGTGAATCGTCATACTACTTCTAGACAGAATAAATATTACTGTGTGGCATCACGTCACGTGTCTATTAAATTCATCAGAACAAACAAGTTTCAGTAACATGTAACTATGGACGGGAATACAACATGCAGCAGTGGGAAACAGGATCTGTGTTCAGCTGTTACCACAGGGGAAGTTTCTGCGAAAACAATGTTCACACTAAATGGTGAGAAGTTGTGTAGACAATTGAATATGACAACTTTGATGTGATGAAATTTCTACAAAATCAGGGATAAAAAAATAGTTTTATTAAAGAGCAGTACTCTAATCATGCTAATAAAAGAAATTTCGAACCCAGAATAATTACCATGAATACATGATTATATATTGCCTAATGGAAAAGGCATAAATCCCAGTTAAACAGATCAAATATTCGCTTTTGTGGAGTTTCTGGTTCAGTAAGACTGGAGGCAAAAATGAAAATAATGTTGTCATGGTTACATTTTGTGAAAATAACCACAACTTATAACATATAATTAAAACAACAAATATTTTGAGCAATAATCAATGATAATAATAATTGAGACATGTTCAATAAGCATAACTTCAATCAAACACAGCTTGTTAAACAAACATCTACTTTTGCAAAAATGATGATGGGAGTTTCATTGGGCTTTTAATTATTATTACTGGTAGGTGGTTTACAAACATTTTGGCCTTAAATTCAATGTAGTGGGTCGGGGGAAATATAATAAACTTCCAGATTAGTACTGCTACTAATGAAAGAACACAAACTCGTAGGTGTGAGTGAGTGAGTGAGTTGGGTTTAACGCCACTTTTAACAGTATTCTAGTTATATCATGGCGTGTCAGCTTAATGTGGGAGGAAAGCATAAAGTGATGCAGGTCTCAGACTTTTACCACTTCGGTGAAACCCACGAGCACAGGTATGGCGCTAACAAACCTAGAAACAAAATCGGGGCTAACCGGGATTCTAACCCACTATCATAGGTTTCTGGCATGCCCAGGGGAGGCGACTCTGCACAACATCATGGCACCTTAGACGGCTGGGCCACCCATGCCCCCTCGTAGGTGGACATCATCACAACGTCAGTCATAATCTCAGCAACTACCATGATTTTGTTGTACCATTTGCACAGACATCTGCATTTAAAAGTTCTTATGTTATAGATACATCAGGTCAATGAAATAATCTACCATCAGAAGTAGGGCATAGTTCGTCAGTACCTTCTGTTAAAGCTTTGCATTGGAGCATTCTACATCACCTCCTATATACTATAATTGTGGTATACGCGTGAAGATCCGGGTTAGAATAGGTCTTCAGCAACCCATTCTTGCCGTAAAAGATGACTATGCATGTCGTAGGAGGTGACTAACAGGATCGGGTGGTCAGGCTCGCTGACTTGGTTGATGCATGTCACCGATCCCAATTGCGTGGACCGATGCTTATGATATCAATCACTGGATTGTCTGGTCCAGAGTCGATTATTTACAGACCACCATCATATAGCTGGAATATTGCTGAGTGTGGCGTTAAACAACAAACCAACCAACTTTAATTGTGGTAAGCATGGCAGCAACATACTGCACACTAGCCTGAGCCACACAACTGTAGCATACTAAATTGTGATCTGTCTGTTAATGTGGCCGTTTTGAAAATTCATTCCAGTACTTTTTCAAATGCACTTTTCATATGCTTTATATGATGACTTTAGGAAGACATTATTGTCAGCTATTGATAATCTTGGAGGACAAAAAACGCTACACAGTATTATATTTGGTGACCCAAACCTAAATGTTTACTGAATACAAATAAAGTCTGTCCGTACACAAATTTATAAACAAATACCAACAGATTCAGTAGCTGCATAATGTTATTGTTTCGAAATTGTTAATCATTAATATTGTTAGAACTATATATGTAAATACTAAACTGTATAATATTTGCATATGTAGGAGATGTACACCTTTTTCACTTTCCAGTGCATTGTAAATAACCTTTATATCAGCAGTGTATATGCATAGTGCAAAATGTTTCCACAATGTAAGGCTTCAATTGGAAATTATTCATGTCCCCTACATAATATTATGTTTAATCCTGTAAACGGAGAAGGTGGAAATAGGTGAACGTGTGCCCAATCCCTGTCTTTTGGACAATAAAAGATATATTTGTAAATTGCAAAATAAATACCAAAAGATAATCAACTGGTTTATTTTGTTAGCATAAGAGATTTTTCTTACGAAGAATGGTGATTAAAATCATTTATGTTGATTCGTCTCATAAACCAACTAAAGAATAAATATGGCCCATATTTATAAATATATATATATATATATATACGCCAAGAATATAACTGGTCTGGGCCCACTTGCACAAAGCGATCTTAGCGCTAAGATGATCGTAACTCCCATACTTTAACAAAGGCTTACAATAGTCATAGCGCTAAGATCGCTTTGTGCAAGAGGGCCCTGGTCTGACAATACATCATAGATTTAGGCACTGGGACAGTAATATTAAATTATAGTGTTTTCATTTATAATTCTTAAAACATATACTGTAACCATGGTAACATTATGATAATCAGTGAAATGAACACAAGTGTCATGTACTCCTATGGTTAGTCAACTATTCAGTGTGTATGTTAAGATGAACCCAATTCCAAACTCTGCAATAGAATTACATCTAGTTTAACAGCTGGCAATATAACCTTGACTACAACACATCTGATCCTACACTTTGGGATTGCACAGTGTTTTGTAGGTATTTCTCATGAGGGTATCCCCGTTACTGACACTGCAGTGCATGAGCTAACCACACATTCATCACTAAACATGTCAATGGACAGGCTGAGATAAACACTCTTTATTATACCGTACCATATTCGACTTAATAAGCGCCCATGGCGCTCTCAAAATTAGAAATAGGAGGCTCTTATTAGAATATTATTTTGAGTTGAAAGATCGTCAATTTCGTGGTTTATGCTGACAGCCTGAAATGTTTATATAGGACAGAAATATTTTTCCAAGATTTAATTGCCCATATGATAATTAAGGGTGCATATAACTACGAGTGCGTATTATATACGAATAAATAAGTCTTGTGTACAGTTGGAAGGGGTGCTAATGTGAGATTGTTCACTAGCCAATATATTAGCAAATATCGCTGTGGGGGCTTATTAGAGCAGGCGCTTATTACGTCGAATACGGTATTTTTATTCATTAACATTATGATGATTGTCTTTGTTTGAAAGTTGAAATTTTCTGATTTTATTTTTTTTACCACCTCAACTGAATTGTGGGTCCACTTCTCGGGACTATCATCTGAGAGGGTGTCAGATATCCTGCAGAGGTAATTTATCAGAGTAAAAGGTCCGGTTTCACAAAGCGAGTTTTGCACTAAGATGATCATAAGTCCCTTCCTTTAACAAAGGATTATGATAGTACTAGCACTAAGAATGTTTTGTGGAACAGGTTTCAGAACCGAACAAGGAGCTGGACAAAATACTACTGTGAAAACACCATCTTTATTGTTTGGTAATAATACAAACAGAATAAGTATTCATGTTTTCCAACCAAACCAACCCACCCAAACAAATTCAAATTAGTGAGGGAGAGGAAGGGAGGCGGGCTGCGAAGGTGAGGAAATGCTCAAGAAAGAGCCTTGCTGGAGCAACTGCTGAATGAAATACTTCTTACATCAGGTGATCTCAAACAAGGTCATCTATGAATACATTTTCAGGCTCGAGTGAGACCATGGCCTAGATTTTGTACACCTATCGTGGCAAACCGGTTCATTTTACAGTCTGTTGTCTACCAACATTGGCCCCAGCGTATGTTCAGGTAACCTTAGATTCTGGTCATAACCAGTCATAACAACTAAACAACTGATCAATGAAAACCAATAATATCAATCCAGTCTTCCTCAAACAGTTCTTTGCCATGTGGTTTTAAGATCAGTCATAGAAATGTCCATTCTCTATGTTTAAGTCTTCTCTTTACTTGTTTACAAATAGATATTTATCTCAATGATCATTTCCATATAATAAAAATAGAATACTAAACGAGCTCCCGTGTAATACCAATTTTATGAAACGAGTGAATAGTTCTGGTATCTGACGAGCAAAAGCGAGTCAGATACCACAACAATTCACGAGTTTCATAAAATTGGTTTTACACGAGAGCGAGTTTAATATTTTATTTATTACTTGTCATTTATAATGTTTTTAGAATTATACTGTTGAGTGTAAATAGGCTGACACCTACACGATCCATGGCATAATCCAATTGAGTTTAACAGAATAATACTTCAAACACGTCAAAAGTTGAAACGTATGAATTTAATATCATACAATGGTCCAGCTTTAGAATTCAGGCGTTCGTCCCACAAAATTATCGTAGTGCTAAGGCTATCACAACTCACATAATTTAACTTAGACTAACGACTGTCGTTGCGCTAGAGTACGATCGCCTTGTGGAACGGGGCCTTGCACCTCAAAGTTTACAATCACGTCACAATACCCGATGACGTAATTTGTTGAATTTTGTTGCAAGATCCATCGGTGAAACAATGCCATGTGACGTCAGCCTAGCAACAAGGTTGCTGGGGTCATCGAGTGTGCATAAGCTCCTCCCAGTGATCTATCATCTCCACACACAATGTCGTTGAATACGCCAAGGGATGTTGAGAGCTTTCAATATTTGTTCGTGAAACGTGTTCCGAGAGTACATAAGCACGCGTTTTGGTATTACACAATGTGTAATAAAGCTGTATGTTTATTAAACGGGTGATCTCTTCACGGGCAAGTAATAAAGTCAATTCATAAGAATACAAAAAAACCTTCAAAGCCTGAATATCAAGTATAGCTGGGGCCCTAACAAAATTCTATGGAGTTCTTTGAGGTTAGGGACAATGCCTAAACCTCTTTCGGAAAATTGCTGAAATTGGGTCACAAACCAATAAATATCACATTGATCTAATCCTCTGAAGTAAATCCTTTTATACCAGTGTGACACCAATACATAAATGTGCAAGTTGCCAATAAAACCCCTGGGGCAGAAAGCTTCATCCATACACAATGAGCCTCTGCTTTTATTATTCCTCCAGCATAAAAGGCCCCAGGGTAGACATTCAGTGAAGGTTAAAATGGGGTCTATGTTTGCTTGTGAATATAAAATGTAGAATTTACAATAAAAATTTGTTTACAGTTGTTTCACATTTAAAACAAATTTGGTAGACAATGTCCATAATTTAAGAAGAGTTATAAGGAGAGGGTATAATTTATTGATCATTGAAAAGATTAAATTAATGATTTGATTGATATTTGACCCAAAACAGAATATAATGATTAATAATGAATAATTATTACAATCACAAAAATATGATATTATTATCATCCTCATTATCATTATTATCTGGGTTATTTCTGTATGTGGGATGCATACAGGTTCTATTATATCAGGATAATATCAAACATGTGTTGGAATGCATCACTTTGTCCGTTTAGATGACAAGATTTATACAACAATGACTAATTGGATGGAATCCTGTAGTAAACATGTTATGGTAAACCCCTGACTTAGAGGAAGTAGTTGTAACCGGCGAACATATAATCCGGGTCTTGAGGTTCGACAATCTGACGCAAAATCAAATATAACATAAATTTTACGCATTCTTTTTAAAGAACACATAATATTAATTACAAAGGCAGACAGAATGACACGAGACGATCGACTTGAACAGTTGATGAATATACATTACTGGTAATAAAACTGTAACAGCTATTGGACAGGCTACATTGCCCAATGAAGTAAACTCTCAGTTTGAATTTTATACACAGGGAGAAAAATCCTTATTTCTCTCTTTTTTTCGACGTAGTTTCTACGTATTGATGCTTTATCGATCTTTCTTGTTTGTCTTACATTCGTTAATTAATGTATACCGCGTAGTGGGAAATTTTCAACATTTCCTCACACCGTTCGGCCGATGTGCAACCGGGAACCAGAAATCCCGAATCGATACGCTTCAATGGTTGTGATGCAGTACGTGGTAACTGTCCGTCCGTGTGATCTGGGCCAAGATCACGTCTGTACGACAGGCAGAAACGTCGCTACTCCTTCCATTCAGTGGAACAGATTTGAATATCAATTCTTGTAATCAAATACTTACAGTGTGAAATTGTAGACAGGATTGGTTTTCCTCCTACGGCTTCCGCGAATTCAGATGCTATGCGCAAGTTAATGTTGACAACCGTGAGTTACCTCGAGCATTGTCGCGCCAAAGCAGCCAATCAGATGCAGGCAACTGAAGGTGTGGCAGATATCCGTAATTTCATTGGTCCTCAAATAGACGACCTTGACCTTGATGAACATGCCGGGGTAATTGAGTATATATGACGAAACAGCTTCTCTCACTGCTCTCGCGACACCTTTAAAACGTTCTTAACCGGAATTTCGTGCCTTTCGACCAGATTTCCTTAAACAACACAAGAGTATCAAGTTCATTTTGTCATCATAAACTTTCATGTGGTGAAACACGTACCTCTCTCTCTCTCTCTGGCACTGGTTTACAACAACGTAATCGTAATGTTGTTGTACATATGTCCTTGTTATTCTTTACTTAACTATATTATACCACCCTGTCAGCACACAGGCAATGCGTGAAGACGGAGTAGCTGATGTTATTGATCTGTAATTTCATACATCAGGGATCGATCGAGTGTCCTACAAACACTGTCTTGTCCTCGCTGGTTCAACGTCCGTGTGAGGGGGAATGGATTGGATGGTGATGATAGGGTGTGTTATTTTTATGACATATGTATTTCCTTGTCGATGTTACGTAAATTAAAGGGTCATGTAAAAGGAACACGCACTTGGGTATTGCTTAATTTTTTTTGCACCAAAACTACGGACACACACTCATTTTGGCTGGTAGTTTTGTACGTTCGTGATTACATTGATCCAAGCAACATGAAGCAATGCATCGCTCGCCACGTGTCATCGCACACAAGGAAGCGGATTTGCAAATATGATAATATTGTTATGTAAACTAAGAAGAGGAACCACAAAATTAGCTTTAAAAAGGCGCACATATTATGTTCAGGGCCCCGCGTTCACAAAGTTACCTTAGCATTAAGACGATCTAACTCCCATAAATTAGCGTAGACGATAATCGTAGTGCTAATCTTGACCACTTTGCCCTGGACTGGTCTTTTGCTTGCAACGTAATCGAGAAGGAAACGAATATTTTTCCCAAAGAGTATAACTTTCTCAAACAATTACCGGAATGGTGGCTGGTAGATCTGAACAATCCAGACAACTATAAAAAAAACGAACACCCCATATATGTTAAATTGATATAACCAGTAGATGGCATATCTTCCTTTATGGGATCATATGTTAATTGTTGCTTAAGAGGTCACATTAACTAAATATCGATTCCAGAATCAATTCCACTGATTAAGTCTGGTGGTCTCGCTTACGCTAGTCATACCGGACCCGGGTTCTTATCTTAACAGAGGTACAAATACCTATCATTTTACTTCTATTTCTAAGGGGCGGTCGGGTAGCCTAGTGGTTAAAGCGTTCGCTCGTCACGCCGAAGACCCGGGTTCGATTCCCGACATGGGTACAATGTGTGAAGCCCATTTCTGGTGTCCCCCTCGTGATATGGCTGGAATATTGCTAAAAGCGGCGTAAAACCATACTCACTCACTCTATTTCTAAAATCGGCTCAAAACCACACTCACTCATACCAGTATTACTCTACTACAACAGTCAGTCGCCCCCGGCCTGTGAATTAAAAACACTGCAAGGTAGACAGATGAGTTAGTGTTTGATTATATGAACACACATTGTTCTCTGAATAGTGAATCAGTGAGTTGGGTTTGACGCCCCTTTGAAAAGTATTCCAGTTATAACACAGTGTGTCTGTTTAAACTGCTCAAAGTGATGCAGGGCTCAGACGTTTCCCACTTTGGTGAACCCCGCGAGCATGGTATGGTGCTGACAAATCTAGAAACGTCATCGGGGATAACAGGGATTCGGACCCACACCCACGATCACACGTGCAGGTTTCTGGCTTATTCAAGTCCCGCAACTCTGCTCAGCGAATTGCGGCGCCTCAGACGACTGGGCCACCCGTGTCCCCGTTCTCTGAATATGGAGTTATGGACAGAAATGGCAAAATAAAAGACGTTTTTTACATCACGTTTGACATCACAGAAGCTTAAATTATCTCCTATAGTAATCAGAGCTAAAAAAACAAAATGTTGGTGTACCGATATTAATACATACCACCCAACTTTTGACAGCGGTAATCAGATATGTTATTCTATTTAACGCTTGACATATGCATCTTCCCGGGGCGAGGGAGTTAACTGTCTTTAAAAGTCCAGTTTGTGGCAACTGGACTTTTATAATCATTTAACTCCTTTGCCTCGGGAAGATGGACATATGAGAATCAGTTTTGTGCAACATGGAAAGATAAAAATATCCCTATCAAAAGTGAAAAAGTATATATGAATATGCCAAAACGTACTACGGAAGGCTTTTAGGGCCATTTGGTTTTTTGGTGGGTTTTTTCGATACTATCTTGAAATTTCAAGATACTAAGTTGAAATTTCAAGATACTGAGTTGAAATTTCAAGTTATTATCTTAAAATTTCAACTTAGTATGTATCTTGACATTTCAAGTTTGCATCTTGAAATTTCCAGAAAAAGAAAAGCAAAAAAGAAATAACCCTTATAGACTTCCGTACAAAACTAAAATGACTTCATTAGTTTTAGCCATGCTATAAACTTCACTTCTGGGCTTGATGTAAGATGATAGGCGGAGGGTCATTTCACAGTTTCACATTTCACAATGGTCTCCGATTTCTACACTATGTTTGGTTAAGATTGTTACATAACTGCTCTTTCTGGCCCTCTAAAATAACCAATTGTATGACAGAAATGAGGCAAAATGTATTAACATGTTGTCATAGCAACCTATTCAATACAACCTTTGTCTGAAAGAAACTTTTAATTCAACATGCTAATTACCATTTAGCCATCGCACACGCCGATCCCCTGCATAGGTATATGCGTATAATCAACGGCATGCATGCACACGCGTGTGGAAAGCACGTTGTTAATTTAATTTCATGAAAGTTATCTGAAGTGTTCGTATGATTCAGGACCATTTGTTTTTCACATTCACTTGTTTTGTACTTCTAAAAAACACCAATTAATGCTTGAAATAAGGCTATATTGTGTGTAAATTATTTACAGATTTTTAGTAAGTGTTTGGGGAATATTTCATCATTAGTTTAACGTAAACTTATGTTTGGCCGTTTCTAAGACGGCATATCAAGACGGTTCTTTAGAAACGGCCAAACATAAGTTTACGTCAAATATATGGAGACACATTTACCTTGGGTCACGGACTTCACACATAAACTAAGCGGCAAAAGGAAGTATAGGTTGTCAATTTGTAATTTTCCGAATATGACTGCCGAGGGACAGGTACCAAAAGAAACCTCACCCGAACGCGCCACCTTTGACGGCGCCCGTGCGGTGACAAAACAATGGTGAAACAGGTTTCCCGCCTATGCATAAATTGCACGTGCATGTTAGCTGTATAAATGCGTTCGTCTGCAGGGTATAACCACACGTGATGAAAGCACACAAAAGAAATGCCACGACTGTCACAGGAGCAGAGCGAGAGAGAGAGCGAGCCATCGGTATGGTCGAAATGGGGGCAACACAGGTCCAAATTGCCAGGTTTGGCTGTACACCATTGACAGTAGCCAGGCTGATTCAACGGTACAGGCAGACAGGGAGGACACAGGACAGGCCTAGAACCGGACGACCCCGAGTGACAACACCACTGGAAAACGGTCAGATACGGCTCATTCACCTGCGAAACAGATTGGTAACGGCGACGGCGACGGCAGCAACAGCGTTGGGACAACCCATTAGCCAACGTACAGTAGTACGACGACTTGTATGGAGGAGGAATGGTACTGACTGCTCAAAATCGACGCCTGAGACTGCGATGGGCGAGGCAGGTTCGACGCTGGCAAGTGAGAAATTGGCGTCGAGTGCTGTTTTCTGATGAAAGTCGGTTTAACGTGTTTCGAAATGACGGCAGAGAACGAGTTTATCGACGCAAAGGGGAACGTTTGGCTCCGGCGTGTATTCGAGAGGTCCATCCATTCGGCGGGGGAGGTGTCATGGTGTGGGGCGGTATTTGTGGAGATCAGAAGACTGATTTGGTGATTATACAGGGAAACCTGAACGCTGTGCAGTACAGAGACCAAGTGTTGCAGCCAGTTGTGCTTCCGTTCTTACAAAACCAACAGCAGGGAACATTGTTTCAACACAATGCCAGGCTCCATACTGCAAGACTGACTTGGAACTTTCTAAACCAGCAGAACGTTGACGTTTTACCCTGGCCTGCCCACTCACCCGATATGCATCCTATTGAACATCTGTGGGACCATCTTCACAGACAGATTAGAGCACGCTATCAGCCTACCGTCGACAGACAAGAATTGCAGCAGGCCCTGAGAGACGAGTGGCAACGGATTCCAGTCCACGTCATCAGAAGACTGACGTCATCGATGAGGCGGCGTATCACAGCATGCATTGAGGCAGCTGGAGGTCATACACGCTATTGAAGGCAACTGTGTCGACAATGAACTTGTAGTGTGTCTGACAATTTTGGTGACATTTCAGACAACTTTTGAAAATTAAATTTCTTACCCCACCATTGTTTACCTTGAGCTTACATTACCTGTCATTGCACAAGTTCTTTCAAACTGTGGTTGATCAATCATGTGTTACCCCTCCCTAGATTATATTATGATCACAGAAAAACCTCTTCTTGTTATTTTTTTATCTATCATGGAACTCGACCTATACTTTCTTTTGCCGCCCACTTTACTTGTAATTTGATGTCATGATGTTTGAATAATTACACATTTACTCTCATTTTATCCTTTATTTGTAAGATTATCGAGGCAAGATGTCCGTCACAGGAATAGTCCAATCTGACGTCCATATAGATGCTGTTAACTTTCCCTAACTTTAAAAATTGTAATTTCTGCAGTGGGCTGAACTGATCTTCACCATGCCTCGTTCTCTGTGTGAATGTAGAGTTAACAAAAAGTGGGGATAAAATTGGTGAAACGGGTGTTTTTTCAGTAACGTGGTGGGAAGGTAGAAATGTCCGCATCTGTTGCGTAAACAAATGAAGCGTGTTGATTTGTACAATAGATGATTATAGGGACCGTCTCACAGGCAAGTGGGCTAACTTAAAGATCCTCGAGCTTGAAAACAGCGTAAAAATCCACATGGTTACGTCGCCAAATGCAAAAAAATCACACACAAAAAACAACAACAACATAACCAAGTAGCTCTCCATAAATAACGTGTACGCTTTCTTATTTTATTCATCCGTCACTTCAATATTTTCATTGATGATATTCCCTCAGTTGTGGCATATAAGCTTGCCTTTTATAATTCGTCTTCGTGTTAACACGCCTTGTGTTCAGATTAACGTTCAGTTTATTTCGAATAGGCGCAGTGGCCGTAACTTAATCTTTGATGTAGATATAAATGTTGTTTCAAGCAGGAATAGGAGTGACCAGACAGTTATCCAGCAATGCAGTGACGCTATGTCAAATTATACATGTAAATGTGCTTATTTAAAAAAAAACCCATCTGTACATTCATGTCATATTCTATATACTATTTCAGAAATTATTTTGGACTTTTTCATGAGAGTTATCATGTAAATTGTGTATCTTGGTTGATCAAATTTGAACATGTAAAACTGTAAATAATAAATGAAAAAGAAAACGTTTATTCTTGTTAAATTCTTATTTGGAATATTACGTCAGGGCCATCCCTTTTTTATTCTTGACACGACCCCCATCCTTGTGACAACAGTGCCCGTTACGTGCGGCCATAGGGGTACAGTAATTCGAGTAGTTTAAACAGGAAGGGACGAACCGAGGCCTCCCGAACCGAGGTCTGACTAACCTGAATACCAAGACCGACCCCGACCTGCTTTCCTGACGTTCAATATCACAAAACAATGCAGGATTGTATTTTACGTGTAATCCAATTCCGATAATCCGTTGATAACCCCTCAAGACTGTCATGCGAAGTCGCGTTAACTCATTGTATAACTGTTGACGCCATATTCCCCCCCTCACCCTCTCTCCCAACCACACATATCCCGCGCGCTAATCCTTTCTCACCCCTGCATGTATGCATAGTATAGAGGGTGATACACGCACAATATGTTACAGTGAACTACGGTTATAACGAACACGCTTATAACGAACTAACGGATATAACGAACTAACTTTTTAGTCCCGACTATTTGCTGTAGCTATACTGTATATATGCTTACAACGAATTACGGTTATAACGAACTAAAATTAGTAGTCCCTTTGAGTTCGTTATAACCGTAGTTTACTGTAGTAAGTTAGTTAGTTATTTAGTTAGTTATAAACTAGACCCCGTTCACATGCAAGCGTTTACTTATGTGAGTATTATTATTCACATATACGTTAGGTTACCCACCATAAGGAAATGGGTCACGTGAATGCATTTGCTCTCTATACAACATACACCGGGAGTATATTTACGTGAGCAAAATAGGTCTTGCAAAAGTATTTCTGCACTTAAGTATATTTAAATGCCATGTATAGTTTGTGCCACGTGAACTTCCCTCACTGATTACCGGTTTGCTCATGTGTGTAAACAGGCCTCGTCATGAATGTGCCTCAGTGCCAGAGGACGGGTGCATGGCTGTTACATTTCAAAGGGTCAGGTGAAATGGGGCTAAACGTCGCGACAAGATTACTGCACTTATATAGCGACGTGCATGCGCGCGCGTGAGTGTAGAGTTGAATTAAACCTTGGAACTGAAGTTTCCTTTGAATGTCATAACCATAACAACAAATAAAAAGTTTGAGATATGACTGATTTGATTTTTCTTTGCCCTAATAATTTAAGAAAAAGAAATTTCCGCATTACCATGTGTAAATTACTACCTCTCATGATATAAAGAAAAACAAATTTGAACAGCATTGCGTGTATTTTATTGATATGGCAAATACAATCGAAATTATCGATTTTTCTAACTGATATCGATACTTTTGATCGGAAACTGATTTAACAATCGATTTATTGACTTTAAGTGCTTACCAATAGCAATACATCGATTTTCGTGACACCCCTACTTGATAACTGTGCTAGAACCTACATCGAAACGTCGCTCCTAATTGTAATAAAGAAGTTGTTCATCCATATATCTTATCCTTACCTATAGTATGATGTGTATACAGACAGCTGTGAACAGGGCTACCAGGTGTATAAACACACGTATCAGTTTACCTGCACGCCGCTGGCGTGTGTTGGGGCTGAGTATATGTGACATTGAACCTGTAGGTATGTATGTTTTGTTTCACTGCGTATTATATGACGATATCAGGGCAACTCTTTTTAATGAATGTATTGCTAAATCTTACAATGATTTAGATATACCTGATATCGACAAACTTTGTTTAATTTTCAGTGACTCCAGTGTGTGTTTTATACTTGCCCAAAGTCTGCTTTTGAATTCTTAATCGTAGAAAATATCTTTTATATGGATAACTTTTTACTATATCATCTTTATATCATTTATGTATAAATTCTGTGAAAATTTGTCTCTCATAATTCTATTGAATGGTTCTGTACATTCTATCTATGTCAAGTTGTACAAAGCTGTTTTATGTATGTACAGAAGTGAGACGTTAATAAACTATTGTCTATGTACTTAAAGCTTGCATAAAGAGTTACTTTTCAGTAAATAAACGCATCATGCGAAAGGTCAGTTTTTCTCGCCCCGAGTACCAGTTTAAAGAGGCGACATTTTTTGTAATAATGTTCATTCCATTTCCAAGTACATGTTAACAAATTTACAAAGGCAAAAACAAATTTACAAAGGGCAAAAACACGTTTACAATCAAGGTTGAAGACATGATAAAAACTATTATGGAAGGCCTGTTTTCAATGTAGACACAAATGGGACTAAGACATGAATAATATATTTTATGAACGTTTCAAATGTTATCATGATTGTGAACAGAAGTAGGAGCCAGTTGCTTCCAGTTCTTGTAATAATAATTGATTCTGTTGTTTGAAATATACTTTTTCAATTTTATTAATATCACTCAATATTTTAATGAATACATCAAAGGTAAGTTTTGTTGTTTATTACGATGAATGAATCTTTTTGCTGAGAGCAGGATCTGGTTAACTACATGGTTGTATGTACAAAATCCAGGAAAGGAAAGTGTATTTTGTGAATGTAAGTTCAATACGAGTATTTTGATTACTGTTCTTAAATGCTTCAACCTGTGACCAGAAGTCCTGTTCACGTGTTCTCATTCAGAGTAAATACGTTATAAATATTCTAAATGGCATTTATAGAATATACAAATATCATCATTGTAAGTATTTTTTTCTTTGTGTGGATTATCTGTAAATGAACCTAATATTGAAAACCTAATTGTTTATTAGTCCTTAGTACATTTTCTATACTGAACAACAAAAGTTCCTGTGACATTGAATAAGATTTAATGCAAAGTTATGTTTTTTACCAAATCTGAAACAATTTCGGTTTGCAACAGATAAAAGACTCCTGTAAGTGTTCAAATGTGGTAATTTGCCATACTGACTTCAGAAAATGCGTGATTTCATAAAAAACAACAACCCATGAACATGTCAAAATGTCAATTTACAAATCAGTAGTGTGTGTGTCCACCTGTGGTTGCGTTGCAAGCAACACATCTTCGTCTCATGGAATGGACCAGGCGTCGCACAAAGTCCCGTGGAATATCTGTCCATATCTGCTGGAGCATGTTTCGAAGTTCCTGGAGTGTCTGTGGAACACGTGGTTGACGTCGAAGGCACCGATCCATCTCATCCCACATGTGCTCGATTAGTGAGAGATCAGGGGAGCGAGCCGGCCAGGGATGACATTCACGTTGTTTTGTTGAAAAGAATCCTGAACAAGTCGAGCAATATGTGGTCGGGCGTTGTCATGTTGAAAGGTAATGCCTGGGCCATGACGACGCAAAAACGGTAGAACAACAGGGCCGATGATCTCGTCGCGGTAGCGCTGTCCATTGAGATTTCGCTCTACCACTATCAAACGGGTCCTCTGTCTTTCTGTAATCCCACCCCATACCATAATGCTGCTGCCCCCGAACCGATCTTCTTCCATGACACAATGATTGGCGTAACGTTCACCTCGACGTCGGTACAATCGAATCCATCCATCGCTGTGGCTGAGGTGAAAACGAGACTCGTCAGTGAATAGAACTTGTCCCTACTGCATGGCCGTCAAGCGTAGATGCTCTCTGCACTGCTCGTTAGCAGTTTTGATAGTCCACAACTGTCCCTTTTATTTGTACCTGTTCCAACAATCTCCCAAATGTAGAATACCATTGTCATACAACCTTGTAGATAGGTTTGGTCACTCTAAATCACCAGGTGATCATCATATGAAACAGGTGGGGTGGCTTGCTTCACTGGTTTTTTATTTCCTGCTCAGGGCCCGTTCCACAAAGCGATTTTAGTGCTATGACTGTCGTAAGCCTATGTTAAAGAATGGGAGTTACGATCGTCTTAGAGCTAAGATCGCTTTGCGAAACAGGGCCCTGGTGGGTAAATCGGCGGATGGGACTTGGCTATTAGTCCATTACTGGACCATCGATATACCTGAAGTTTAATTTAACTCCTTGGAAAAAAACAACACTTGTTTTATTTTCGCCAATCCAACAGAAATTCTTACAAGAAGAAGAAACAGGCCAGATAGGAGGGGTACGCACGGGGATACCTACTTATAACCTGAATGTCCTATCCCCCTATTCCCACGTAGCTTCCATCTTTGAGGACGTCCAGTATTTCACGTGTTGCTTGCATTGTATGATTCTTTTTTACAATCTGTCCTGTCGAAACATTTTACCAACAAACAGACATAAAAACAGGACAAATCTGTGAGACAAAAATAAGCTAATCTGACATAATTACTAACTCATATATAATTGGACAAAACATTAGCTTAAAGCAAACAAAATACAGATACAAATTACCATTGGCGTAAAATACACAGCCATATATACAGGACAAATCTACAAGCAAATTATGGAGTACATAGCAGATGTCTAAAAGGTACCCATTCACGACAAAGGGAGATAACCATATTATTCAAGGGAGACAATTCCTCCAAAACGCCAACAAAAACCTAACGGGCCTATCTTTTGACTGTCTCTGTCTCAGTTTCTGTATATTTAGCACTCTCCACTTGGTTGTATTGTGGGATGAGCTTCTCGAACATCATACGGCACATGGACTCCAGGTCATACTAATGGCTCCATCCCCAGTCTCGGCGAGCGTTGGTGTCATCCAGCACCTGGGGCCAGGAATCAGCTGAAACAGAAACAACTTGTATGGCTATCACTAATTGTTAATTTTCTCGGTAATTCAAATTAACTTCGAAATCTGATTCAGGACATATTCTTGTTACAAAAGATGGAGAGATCTAAAAGTCAGTAACCATGCACAGTGTCAGTCAGTAACCACAAAGAAATTCAACATCACTCTTATATTTCAATTTGTTTCAAAATTTTATTTTTATTTTATGACACTTTATTGCCTAATCTTGTTCAAACATTACTTTTTCAGCTTCTCATTGGGCACTTCCATGAAGTTGACCGTGGACCGGAGAGTGTCGTCGATGTACATCATTGGGAGCCGAGTGTCTGGCCCCAGGAAACACCGGTGGTGTCCGGTCTTCAGGGCATCGTGGAATATCTCCACCGCATAATCTGCCATGAATAATAACAATGTTACCATCCCTACACTACACTTTAAAGAAGTCTTTGTTATATCCCACAAGTTGTCTTCTTTTATTTTCAATAATAAGGGGCGGTCGGGTAGCCCAGTGGTTAAAGCGGGTTCGATTCCCGACATGGGTACAATGTGTGAAACCCATTTCTGGTGTCCCCCGCCGTGATATTGCTGGAATATTGTTAAAAGCGGCGTAAAACCATACTCACTCACTCACTCAATAATAAACGATAGACTCTGAAATTCCAGGTTCCTGGTGTAATACTGACAATTATTTAGGTGACTTTGATACTTCCCTTGACTGCTTTTAACTTTTAACACGGGCAGTATTTCAGCCATATCGTGACGAGAAGTTATACATTTATGATACATTTATGATATATATATTCAGACGAAATAAAAAGCTGTCAACGATGGACAGTAGAATAACTAGAATCCTGCATGGACCCCGGCAGGATTTATATAATCCCTTCAGTCACTGGCGACAGAGTACCAGTTAAGCCTTAGGTTAAAAAAACGAATATACTACGTTTAAAAGCCTGGAATGCAGAAAAATACTTCGAATGATATGGGACTTACATACCCTCTTAGGCTATTGTTAAAAGGTCAACTTAAGGGATTGCATGATTTGTGGACTATAACAGACACTTAGGATCCCCATTAATGTAAAACACCACAGTAAATAATAAAATAACCTTTTGGGACACCATAGTCCGCCACAAGGTAATAGTTTTTAATTTTTCCAAATGTATTATTCAGAACATAGACATATTTCAGATTTGCGTTGTAGTTGCAATGGACTTTATTTGCATTGATATCAAATCGAGGCTACAAAACCCTTTTCATAGCGATAAGAAACATATCCATTGTACTATTCCGACTATATCATGAGCATGTGTTTATAAATATGGTATAAATTCCTCTTGTCTCAATACTCTCTGAGAATATAAGGATAACCCTTCCTTGATTATATAAAGGATTGTGGTTGAGGGTTTTCATGATACATTTTTGCTGGACTTGGATGACAGCTCGCGTTGGTAGAATGAGTTCAGTCACCTCTTGTTCAGTTTGTGAATTCTACCAATGACACCATCATGCGCTGACGTTACCCACTCTGAAAGACTTTCAACAAGTTCATCTTTTCTGTTGGCCCGTTTGGCATATGCGTCGGCAGCATCCCAACTTATTTTATAGTTTTGATCATAAATGGTACCAGGTTGTTCCCCTGTGACTATACGGACAACAGATTAGCAGCAATTTGGTGTGTTTTGGCAGCCACAAGTAGAGAGCCTTACACCATAAGCTGCCAAGTCCATGCACGTTCTGCAACAGTTCCTATAATTGAACAACTTGGATGAGCTGGCGTCCATATAGGAAAACGAAACTGTTGTTGTTTCATGAAATATGAAATAATCTGGGACATATGGGGAAATTGATTTTTTTTCTGAGAATGTTACTTTAGTTTAAAGCAGCCATTCCCGTGTTTGCAAATTTCAAATTCAGTGACATGCTGGGTTTTTTTTATTTAGTGGAGTTTGTTTTTCGTTTGGACAAACATTTCAAAGCAGTATAAAGAACTATATCAGCCAGTCGACAGCGTTCTCTTACTGTTAGAAGACCCATCTATCAGCAAAAGTTGCTGGACTCGTTTGATTTCTTTCAATGACAAAGAGTGTTGTCTTGTTTTTGTATCGTTGGTTAGAGTGAGTGAGTGAGTTAAAATTTAATGTCTCATCGACATCATTTCAGCCGTTTAGCGACGAGACCAAGTTACTATGTTCACAATTGAGTCATCAATGCAAAGTTACATTTAAAAATAATTCGTTGGTTAGAGAAACTGGTAACGCTTTTATTACGTCATTGTATAAGCATGTTCCATGCTGTTTAATTCGTGCATTTCCTGCCCCGGTGTGCCACAGATCTTTGCCAACATCTGTGACACATCGGTGCAGTAGTCATGAAACCAAAGATGATCGTCCGGTGGCTGTAGGGTGTCCGAAGGAGTTTGGAGAAAATGGTAGGCTTATACAGTCCACTGACTGACCGGTCATCTGGCGACAATCGGCCGGTAATCTCCCAATACCCGTACGTTGCCCGTCCGATGTAAACTAAAACGTGCGGTGCCCGGCCGATGCCCGGCCGATGCCCGGATGAACATCGCCCGTTTACTGTTAGCTATAAAAGGAGCCCGCTCAGAAACCTTGGAGATGAAGAGTGGAAAGGCAAAGGGAGCTTCGGGCTCTAGCGTACTGCATACTGAGCCAGGCCAGTCTCAGTGTGTGTGGAGGGACAGGCATCCTGAAGACATTCTATGCTGCTCATCCCATTCAAGCCCATTATATACACTCCGGAACAGGCACGTCAACATTTCTGGTGCCCGATGAATGATACCCGCTCGGCGCCTGCTCGATGCTTGCCCGGGTTCCGGTTGGTCACCTTACAACTTTGCTTAATCGTCCGGTCACCGGAGGGGAATATTCCAAGTATTGACCGATTTCCGGCAGATGACCTTTCGGCTATCCTCCGATGACCATACCACACCCGCGCACTGCAAAATTTGTCCGATTCCCTCGCGGTCTGGCAGGTGCCTGGAAGGTCACTGGTGGGCTGCCGAAAGATGTCACAGATCCATTACCGATGGGGGTGTGGACCACTGGTCGCCGCAAGAAAATAACTCAGAGTTATTTTCTTCCGATGTGCCCACCGGGGTCCTCCCGATATCAAAACATGGCCAATGCTCACAGATGATCGTCCGCCGCCCCTACGGGTATCTCTCAATTTGGCCGATTTTCAGCCTCTTCGGGCATCGTAAACTAATCTTTCCCGGCATCGGTGGATATGTCACTCAGGCATTAACAGAGGGACTGAAGACATCGCCTTGCCTCCTACCTTACTTACCAGAGGAAGTGAAGACATTGCCTTGCCTCCTTCCTTACTTACCAGAGGGACTGAAGACATCGTCTTGCGGCCTACCTTACTTACCAGAGGGAGTGAAGACATCGCCTTGCCTCCTCCCTTACTTACCAGAGGGAGTGAAGACTTCGTCTTACGGCCTACCTTACTTACCAGAGGGAGTGAAGACATCGCCTTGCCTCCTTCCTTACTTACCAGAGGAAGTGAAGACATTGCCTTGCGGCCTACCTTACTTACCAGAGAGAGTGAAGACATCGCCTTGCCTCCTACCTTACTTACCAGAGGGAGTGAAGACATCGCCTTGCCTCCTTCCTTACTTACCAGAGGGACTGAAGACTTCGTCTTGCGGCCTACCTTACTTACCAGAGGAAGTGAAGACATTGCCTTGCCTCCTTCCTTACTTACCAGAGGGAGTGAAGACATTGCCTTGCGGCCTACCTTACTTACCAGAGGGAGTGAAGACATCGCCTTGCGGCCTACCTTACTTACCAGAGGGAGTGAAGACATCGCCTTGCGGCCTACCTTACTTACCAGAGGGAGTGAAGACTTCGCCTTGCGGCCTACCTTACTTACCAGAGGGAGTGAAGACATCGCCTTGCGGCCTACCTTACTTACCAGAGGAACTGAAGACATCGCCTTTCGGCCTACCTTACTTACCAGAGGGACTGAAGACTTCGCCTTGCAAGCGGCCTACCTTACTTTAACAGAGAGACTCAGTGTATCGCATTGGGACCTTACTTACTTTCTTACAAATAGCGATGAAATATCTATTTACCAAACAATTAATATCTTTTGAAAAGGACATCGTTGGATATTTCTTAGGGTTTATCGTACATCATGCCAAAAAGTACCTCAACATACATCTCTTTGTTCACTGCTTTGTTTACATGTTAATACATGTCATCATAGTATGTCTGGGTCCCCATATTGTTTTAGTATAAAACAACTAAAATTTGCTCACTTGTATAACCCAAACACAAACATATACCTAGTAGTCTAAGGATTGGTCGTAGTTTGTTTTGATCATAATTGAAAACAGAAACAAAAATAAAGACAAAGATCAATATGGCATTAAGATGACATTATTAAGTTATGATTATGGTTCGCCGAACAAAAAAGGATATGCCAAGAATGAGTGGGATAAGGTTCAGGACCTAGGAATAAAGATAATGTTAATCACACACTTAAGGGTGAAATTCACTTCACCAAATTAAAAATAAAAACAATATGGGGGGCGGCTGGGATTTAATCGAAAAAAATAAATTGCCCCGAAAATGCTTAAAAAAATTTGATTAATACAAATGAGGCTCATGCCTCCCAGTTGATTTTATCATATTTGATTTTCAATTGAAAATATCTAAATTTTGCGATATTATATTCAAAATATGAACTGTACAGGCGCTGAGTCAGAAGTCAAAGAATACGTCTACATGGTTTTATTTTTTAACATTCAAAACTTTTAAAAAATATTAAAAAACCGCATAATGCTGACGGGTATCTTAGACATCTTATTATTGTAAATTAATACATGTTGAGCAAGAGTCGTATAACGTTCTTTGAAATCTTGTGTTTGTTTATTGTTTAACGCCGCACTCAGCCATATTCCAGCTATATGACGGTGGTCTGTAAATAATCGAGCCTGGACCAGACAATCCAGTGATTGACATCATGAGCATCGATCCACGCTATTTGGATACAATGACATGCATCAACCAAGTCAGCGAGCCTGACCACCCGATCCTGTTAGTCGCCTCTTATGACAAGCATAGTCGCCTGTTACAGCATTCCATAACCTGTTCTGTTCCTATGGGGCTGAACCAATGCCATTGCCAAGTTAAATTTTAACTCACTCACTCAGCACCATTTAAGCTATATACAAACACACAATGGGAATACATAATCCACTTTAATCTGAAATATGAATGACAAGAAAACGTTTTTACCAATACATTTTAACTCCTTTGACAAAAAATGATGGCTGTGAGACAAAATGAGTGCACAGGAGAATATCTCGTCTGAATACACAGGAGAACTTAATCTGATCTTTGGGGCCATTTTGACAAAT